ACCAGCACCTCTGCCTGCAAACCAACAAGCCGAACCAACTCCCGTTCCCCCTTCGCCCGTCACCCAGCAAGTACATTCAGAAGAGCAAGAACTGAGAGCCAAAATCAGATTCATGGAAGCTCGTCGAGCAGATGATGTGCAACGAATACGAGAACTTGAAACTCGCTTGGCAGACGCAGAAGCCTTTGTTGCCTTACGACCTAAGCTGCAAGCAAAACTAAACCAACTACAACAAGAATCGCTTCAAACAAAACGCGAACTACAGGATCAAGCTACTGAACTTCAGGTCTCTGAAGCGAAATTGACAGAAGTCAACGAACAACTTGAAATGGTCTTGTTGGATAAAGAAGTTGCGGAAGAGAGGGCAGATGCTGCTGAGGCGGAGGTGGAAGAGCTCAAGGAGAAGCTAGCAGTCTCTCAAGACGAATTGACGATCCTCCGAGAAGCAAACAGTGGCACAGGGGCTGGTGGTGATCCTTCTGACGGCAAATTCTCACTGGCTTATATTCAATTGGAGCGTCAGAATGGACGGTTGAAAGAGGCTCTCCTTCGGTATTGGCAACATGTATCAACTTGGGTTACATAAATTTACTTTCCTTTTCTAGTCTTCGAGATATCTCACAAGAAGCGGAACAAGAGTATCGAAAAAAACTAACAGATCTGGAGAAGGAGTTAGCCGCTTCGGAAGAAATGCAATGTACGTCAATTATTGACTTGCATTTCCTTTGATCTGACCAGTCGTCAGCCGAATTCGATGCAACGCTACAGAAACTGGTCAATGCGGATATTCAGATTGATAGCTTAAAGCAGCAACTGGATGATGCCATGGGTGCTGAAGACATGCTAGTCCAACTCACCGAGCGTAATCTCCTGTTGGGAGAGGTGAGGAATTACCTAGAATTGTGAACGCGAACTAACTTTAAGGCAGAAAATTGAAGAAATGAGAGTAGTAATAGAAGATTTGGAAGCGTTGAAAGAGTTGAACGATGAGTTAGAAGAGAATCACATCGAGACGGAGAAGGCACTCCAAGAAGATATTGGTAAGAGAGCCATTCTATTCTCTGAACACTACTGACATGATTTATAGAATCGAAAGAATCACAAATACGAGAGGCCACAAGGAAGATAGCAGACTTGGAAGAGGCGATACTTGACTACGATCAAACAATTGGACAGTTCCGTGAATTGGTGACACAACTTACCACGTGGGTTCTATAAGGAGGTCGTAGTGATACATGTTAACTAACGAATCCCATGTAGAGAGCTAGATGCACTACGGGCCGAGCATCAAAGTGCACAGAGCGCTTCTGCGCTTGCAGCGTCGCAGACAGCCACGATGAGGTCCCTCAACCTTAAACTACAGACCACCACCGCGAAGAATCAAGCGAAGACGATTGAGCTCGAGTTGCAGAACCTCAAGACTCGACAGGCAAATGAACTATTGAGCATCATCCAACCATATTTGCCTCAAGTCTACGTCGAGTCTGATGGAGACTCCACGAACACCTACCTTTTGTTCAAGAGAATGGCAGCGAAGGCGGATCTACTCAACTCAACTCTCGCCGAGCGCTATTCCCTTCCGGACTCATTAAGCGGTAACGTGACAGAACCACTAATCGGAATATGCGAGGTATGGATAAGTTTGACTCGCTTCTATTGACTCCTCTGAGACGTTGACAGATGAGAGGTCGCATTGCCCATCTTTCGGTCCTCTGCAAGCGTTTCGCCAGCGTACTAAGGAGATGTGAACCCCAAGCTTTCTTGAATATCGGGCGCATTTATCCGGATATCAGTCCATTGGAGAAACGAATTGACGGGCATATTGATCTCTTGAAGCGTGAAGAATTCCGGTCATTAGAATGTGTCACGGATGTTAGCAAGTAAGTGTTGATACTCTGTTCGTGGTCATTTCTGACAAAACGTTCTAGAATGGTGAATCAATTTGAGCACCTTGCCGACTTATATATTGCCGAGAGTGACCTTGACCTTGGGGAACGCGAACTAGACCTTGCATTGTCATTGGATCACGATATCGATTTCTTTGCATCTGCAATTGCATGGACCAAGACAAGTCTGTTGGAGATATTCAAAGACGATGGTGAGCTGTTTTGTGTTTTCAATAGGGTCAGCGATACTCATACATAACAGACATCGATAATGAGATGGGCGATGAAGAGCTGGAGACAGAGCTCATACTCCCCCTCCAGAAGATCCTGGA